CATTCCCAGTGAAATAAATCAGCGCGGCCCCAAGTTCTGATCCAGGTACAAATAGAAGATCAATGCGGCGCCAGGTTTTACTGCCGGGCAACACAGACGCTCCGTGCCATTTGGATCCATCGCCTCGGGAGGTACTGGCGAGACTGACTTGAAGAAAGCCGTCTTGAAAGAGTCGAGGAATCACATTGTCCATCATCATCGCCCTGATTTTCTCAATAGTAGCATCGCCTTTTGTGATGAGCAGATCGATGTCACCTGAGTCGGGCGCCCCACGCCGGTAAGAACCACCGATGATGACCTGCATCCCAGGGTCTGCCCTCTGGACCGCCTTTCGGACGATTTCTCCGTGGACTTCGACTTCACGCCGCGGAATTCGCTTGGCAAAATCGTGGTAGTGTTCCACTCCAATCCGCTGTGATTTCGTCAATGATGCTTTGGTCTTGAGATCATCCAGCGACCTGTAGCCCTGAGCAATCCACCGAGACGCCTGCGATATTCCGACACCGTAGACCCCCAGGAATTCCTGTAGTATGAGATCTTCGGGCGTATTGTTTGCGTTTTCCAACCGACGTAGCCGGTTGGTAAACACGATCTCCTCGATCTTGTCTGCTAAGCGCGGGCCTATGCCGGGGATAGCACGCGCCTGCGCTCTGGTGACGACCTTTTTCGGTTGTTTGCGAAGAGCAGCGATCGCTTTTCGATAGGCCAACGTACGCCACTGATCCGATGTCCTTGTATAGTAGTCCAGCATTTGCTGGAGGATTTCGATAGTCTTACTGTTCGGGTTGTCTAACCTGGAATTTGAATCATGTTTTTGCATGCAAGCAAATTTCTGCTGCCAGACCTCTACCATATTGTCCTCTTTAGACATGTATCTTTCTTTCTTCCCAATCGATTCTGTATCGGACGCGTCCGAGGCCTCGGAGTCGTTTGCTTCGACAGAGCCTTCCTCCAGAGGGTCCAGAGGCTGCAGTTGGGTCAGCAGTCATATTCATCGATAGCGTGTCGACACTCACCAAGTCTTTTACAGCTTTAGCTGCTTCGATCATGTCATCCAAGGCATCCCGCTCGCGGGAAGAGAGTTCTGGGACAGGCTGTTCTTGATGTGTTTCATTCGAGGGCATCTCGATGGTCTGTTCAGGGGTGTGATCGACAACGCATTGGTCTCTCGAGTCCTGGGATGGAGTAGGAGCGACTTGTTGTTTTCGACTTGGTTTCAAGCGTAAAGAAGCGGTCGAAGGCGTCTCGTCTGTAGGGTCTGTCTCTACGGCCTTGGGGCAAGGTGCTCCATGGACGCGGAATCGAACAAGCGTTGTGCTTAGCACAGATTTGAATTTTATACACTCGGAAGGATAACTTTCATCGAGCAAAGCAACATTGGGCTGCTAAAGTCAGGAAAATATGCAATAACTGCACAGCTCATAGCATACTCACCGGGAATGCCTCTAGTTTGAGATGTTTAAGGACATCTTGGAACATCAAACCTTTGTCAACTATCACATGAGTGATATCAGCTTCCCACGTCTTCGCCCAGGTGGCACCGTATTCCTGAGCACGCTGAATCCGTAGACGCCGAAGAGGCGAGACATCGTTGTTAGGAAAGAAGACTGGCGACACTGTTAGCAGTTGGAGAAAATCCTGATTGCATATAGCCAGGTACTCACAGAACACAAGGTCCTTGAAGATCTGCTGCTCTTCAGGAACAGTCCTAGGGGTGATCACCCGTCTTCGTTTAGATTGCTTGTCGGCTTCCGAACGTCCAGTCAAGGCCCCGGTAGTGTTGGATCTTTTGACTCCGGGCTGCAAATCGTCGCTACCAGCAGCAAGCATCTTGCTATGGGTGCTTGAGTCTGCGATACTGGTCGAAGTAGACTGGGGGGCTGAAGTCGCACGTAGCAGTTTGAAAGGTTGTGTATCTTTGCGACAATTTGAAGAGCAAAGCTTGTCACTGTTTCTCGATAGTTTGATGATATGAGACAGTTCAATATCAGCCTCATCTTCCGAGTCATCCGTCAAGCAATCCAGCTGTTCCAGTGCCTTGAAAAAGGCATCTTTGTCCAGAGTCGTCTCCGCCATTCTCTGGCCTGGATGGGGTTTGGTTGCTCAAAACTTTGGGAGGGACCTCGAGCCATGGATGAGTGATTGGCGTCGGCTGCCTAACAGATGGATTTGACTATTGGAGAGTCTACTGGGTATAAATCGATGTCGTGATGCTGACCATTAGACTTACACGCGGCTGGAGGCAGATACGCGTATGACAAGCACGAAAGTGCCACCAAGTCACATGACCTGAAATCAATTAAATTACTCTCTTTGTCAGACAGCTGGTTGGCGATCCGGCGAGCTTGAGATTACCTTAGCCAGTGTAACCGATCTTTCATTTACCACTCATTCAACCAATTCGGCTTCTATCAGCATGTGGAAGTCATCATTGCGTCTATCATCACTCGCAGACGCATCTCTATTACAAGGTGGCCGCTGCCTCAGCTGTCAACTCCGCAATGTCAGCAAACTGCAGCCATCACTGCGCTACTATGCCACTAGCAAAAGCAAGAGCGGCGACAACGTGAAGCCTGCCACAGCAAGCAGGCCAACCACAACCGACAAGATTCAGTTCCAACAGAATGATTCCCCATCAGCACCTCAGCCTGGCGATGCGGACTTTGTCCCTCCGGCCCTCGACCGTCCCATCGGCACAGTGATTCCGCCTCAAGAAGGACAAAATACTGGCCTCGACGAACGATCACTGCAACAACGACGGGATGATTTCGTCAATTACGATAAACATATAGAGAGGCGCAAGGAATTGTATGAAGCTCCGTCCACCGCTTATCATGTGTAGCATACTAATCACGCCGCTATCAACAGAACAAGACAAGTCGCGAAACCATACTTCAGAGAATGGTCCAACATGCGCTACCACGAGGGTAAAACCTTCAAATCGAACCCGCGATTGTTCAAACGAGACAAAGCCCTCTACTTCCCTAACATGTACGGTATCACTCTTGCGTCGCCGAAACAACCGCAAAACACCACCTCGATACTCCGCGGCAAAGTGTCCGTCGTCAATGTCTTCTCAAGCGTCTGGGCAGAGTCGCAGGTTGCGACATTTACGGGCCCAAAGCAGAACCCTGGTCTATGGGAGGCGATGAAGAGCGGAAGCGAGCTTGTTCAGAAGGTCGATATCAACCTGGAAGAGAATGCGATGAAGGCTTGGCTTGTTCGGACTTTCATGTGGCGGATGCGGGCCAATCTGCCCAAGGAGCAGCATGAACGTTATTTCCTTGTGCGCAAAGGTCTTACGGATGGGTTGAAAGAAGCAATCGGAATGATGAACAGTAAGGTTGGTTATGTCTATCTGCTGGACGAGAACTGTCGCATCCGATGGGCGGGTAGCGGGCCGGCAGAGGAAGGAGAGCTGGAGGGATTGAACAACGGTGTTCGCAAATTAATCCAGGAGAGAAGAATCAGTCTCGAGTCGGAGCTACCGGCTGAAGAGTGGGCGGGAAGAAACCAAAGTGAGTCCGCAAGTCTGAAGCCTAGAGTGGTCATGCGGTGAGCCCTGGAGCTATAGCAGTCTGTCCAGTGTATGTACATGTAAATATATGTGAAATAGACAACCAGAAACGCCATGGCCATTGTGATTAGTGCTTGCATGCAGAACAAAAGTACATGAAAACCCCCCAAACGCCGTGCGATATCCGATGAAGAATCAAGGCTGAGTAAGGAATTAGAACACAGGAAAATCGGCATATACGGAGCACTAGCACCTCATCGGAAGAAGAAAACCATCAAGAAACAAAACCCGATGAAAGCTCCCAAGATGATTGCGTCACGTCTCCTCTTCGTACCGATCTTACCAATCAAAGCATTCATTCCGGGTACCTTATTGGCAGCACCGACGATACGGCGATTGATGCTGGCCAGGGTTTCACGTTGTAGCCCGAAATTCTCGTTGATCGCATACGCCTGGCTTAGAACGCCATCTATCATATTATGACTTTCGTCTATACGCCCCCGCTCCTCGAGCATGTAGTCTGCCTCGGCCGCGGCGGGGTTTGAATTGCGGTAGGCATCAATGTCGGACCGAACATTGGACAAAAGATTGGCTCGGTCGCGGGACTCTGCAATTGCGGCGTTCAGGCGCTGCAGTTCACGGCGATGATCCTGGAGCACTTCGCGATTGCGGGCCAGGTTGCTCTGTTTCAGGGCGGATGCGGTAAGAGTGGCTTCGGAGTCGAGGAGACGGGAGAGCTGGGAGATGAGGGCTTCACGCTGTGATTGGGACCGTGTCAGCATACATGTCCGTTGGGCCGGAGTTTAGGACCTCAGAGTACACACCCGTTCAAGAAGATCCTTCAGTTGCGATTCAATCCGTTGTTCTTCTTCTGAGGGTTTCGGAGGCAGCTTCGCCATCGATGCATACTGTGCGTAGGTGTGAAACAGACTCTCGGTCTAGAGACAATACGATCAGCATTTTGAACCGCGACTAAAATCGTTCTAATAAAGTAGCTTCAGATTTAGTACCTGAGTCTCAAGCGAACGGGCTTGCTGCCGAAGCTGAGCCCATCCGGTCCCAGTCGAAGTTGCCATAGTCTGGTTCGGGGTCGGGTCAGAAGCTCTGTACAAAGTGATGGTAGTAGTAAACCCGCGCCGCAGAAATGAGAGCAATAAAACGTTGGATCACAGTACTAGGTGCAGCGACGGGTCATCCGGCCGTCCAGGCAGTCATTAATAACACTTCCACAGAGACCAAGAACAATGCCATCATTCGACGATGATCCTCCCGGCCTACCTCTCAGCCGGTTGGGGGGTTCCTCCGGGGGCGGCGTCACCCAGCAATCAGCCACAGTCACGTGCCCGCTTAGCCCAGCCGCAGCGTGACCGCACCAACACAGAAAAAAACCCTAGTCCCACAACGAACATCCCAAATTGACCCGGTCCATCTTCAATCCTCACTGTCGACAATACCCGTACGACACGACACGAAGCCGCCCACCATGGTATGTTGAATGCGCAATTTTTGAATTCGGGCTTTTTTGGAAGTCGTTGGGGGTTCGTTATGCTGATGAATGTTAGTCGACATCCAAGGTCAAGGCTGGTCAGCTCTGGGGAAAGAGCAAGGAAGACCTTTCCAAGCAGCTCGAGGAGTTGAAGACCGAGCTCTCCCAGCTCCGTGTCCAGAAGATCACTGCCGGTGCCTCGTCGAAGACTCAGAGAATGTGCGTTTGAACTCGAAACCCTTCCTTTTGACATCTGCAATTCTACCTCGAAAAAATAAAAAAAAAAGTCCCCCAAATGTGGCATGGGAATTTATCGGAGGCACAACGGAAACGACAGACTGGGAAGAATCGGGGCCTACCAGAATCGCAGATTGCGCAATATACATGAGATGTTTTGGGGACAGGAATACTGATTTGCTGCGGTTCTACAGCCACGACGTTCGCAAGTCGATCGCTCGCGTTCTCACCGTCATCAACGCCAACCAGCGCGCCCAGCTTCGTCTGTTCTACAAGAACAAGAAGTACACTCCTCTTGACCTCAGACCCCGCCTCACCCGTGCCCTCCGCCGCAGACTCACCAAGCACGAGGCCACCCTCAAGACGGAGAAGCAGCGCAAGAAGGAGATCCACTTCCCCCAGCGGAAGTACGCCGTCAAGGTATGACCATCGCCATGTGCTCCCGCCTCATATCCATGCGGCCAGAAACCCTCGCAATCATGCGGTATATTCAGTTCAAGCCAGCGGAGTGACTAACGAGGAATTTCCCACAGGCCTAAATGAAGACCAACGTCGTTTCTGGATCTGAAATGGAGTTACGGGAAGGTCGTTATAAAAGATGACGAGTTCGACCTTGAAACCTTGCGTGCGTGCGGGGGCTTCGGGTTTCTGCAAAAATCTTTTAAAAGGTTGATTTTGTATCTTAGAGATATGAGATGCAGGTCAATAATACATGAAGGCTTTACTTGACATGACATGACAATTGCGATTTTTACCTTTTTGAATGTTTGTTGCTACGGATTTAGGGTCTCGGTCTAGACTGCCTCGTTGGAGACATTGAGGAGCCAGCTCGGGTCAATCCAGGGTCGGGATATGCTTAGATATTTCAACACTACGGAGTAGAGGTTTTCTGACAACCACCTTTGTCATTGGTACCTTCCGTTTACTCGACATGAAGAGGAACACTCAGTCAACTCGAACATGTTCATTAGACTCATCGTAATTATATATACTAACTTGAACCAGTTAATCCAGCAGCCACCAGAGCGGGCGTACGTCCCGTCGCCTGACCGACCGGCGCACCCGACGACTGTGCAGAGCTAAAGACACTCGGCTCCAGAGTCCACATGCCCCCGCAGACACAAGCTCTCAAGAGACCCAGCTTGGCAATCATGCGGAAGGAAAGCAGCGACCGCGGCGGATGCGTGTCGCTAGAGACCTCGCAGCAGCGGACGCACCGCCGCCGACGCTGCTGCACCTGCGTGCTGGGTTTCCCGCTCTGGTTTGCATTTGCGTCTGCGCCTGCGCTGGCCTCGGCAAGAGCAGATGCCACAGGCCTACAGGGGATCTTCTTGATGATGTCCACTTCCCGGTTCCGTCGGTACATCTCAGTGCGGCGGTCGTTGGACAGGCCCAGCCAGCTGTAGTCACCCATGTAGATCGTGATGCGGTCGATCTCCGTTTTGAGCGCGGGGACCGTCTGTCGGAGGATGGTGGACACCGCCGGCACCAGCACGGGAGGCACACGGGCGTTCACCAGGAGTTCCTTCTCGGGGCCTGGGCGCTCGGCGTCGCCGAACCCGGCGCCGTGATAGGCGTGGCGCACGGCCGAGTCCACGCCAGCGAGGAACTTTTCGTATGCGTCGATTCGGATCGGTGCGGATTCCAGCAATTGGTAGATCTCCGCGTAGTAGACGCGGGCATCGCCGCTTAGAGGCGCTGCGGTCGCGTAGCCTGCGTAGATCCCGCGCAAGCCCCGGCAGATGAACCGCAGGAATGCGCGAGACATGCTTGAAAGGAGGATGATGAGAGGGAGGGAGCTTGTGGATTTTACTGCCGGGAACGGAGGTTAGCATGGTTGATTACGTATGTAGAGGCGAGGCACCACGAACACTTTTGTGTAAATGCCTCCTGGTCGCCGGATAGGCTTTCAAAGTCATCTGCAAGATCGAATAGGTCGTTAAGCACGTAGTATGAAAAGTCAAGGGCCCATTTGGTGTTTCCGAGGACCATACGCAAAACATCTATGCAGACAGAGTACGGTTAGCACCAGCTTCGTAATCAACCAACGTAGATAATCTCACCAGGGTCATGCGGCTCTGTGGCACCGCCTTTGTTGTACTGAAAGAAGAACGCATATAGCACCGACGCATGGCGAAGCTGGAGGACGGCCCAAGGTATAGAGGATGCGAAGTTCCGTGGGGTATATTTGTTCTTGAATCCCAAAGCAGCTTGAATACTTAGGCAGCGCGGAATGTAAGGATGGTTCATAAGTTTATCCTGCTCTACTGTAAAGTTGCAGTTTATAGGCAAAGCGCGGTACGCTTCGTTGATGAAGGTGGCTTGTGCCTCTGTACATTTGTTAGCGGAACGGATCATTGCAAAAATCAAAGGATGTGAACTAACCGGGTGTCAGTTGGCGTACAAGAATCAACAGAATGTCGTCTGTATTCACGTCGCTTCCACATCCACGACAAAAGGCTAGAGTCAGCGCTGCAATAGCAGCCGAATATTTGTCTAGTGTGGTATCAGCAAATGCGCCAATTCATGACCCTGCAGTCAAGGTACGTACTCTCGTCATGAAGTCCGCCCTCAGCCCCGTAAGAGTGCTCCGTGAGCCTTAGGTGTGTTTGTCCCTCTCCGTCAAGCATTACAGCAGCACAAGCGTTTGGTGAGAAGCTCATATGAAGACCTGCTGCGTACCCATGAATTAGCGTGGCCGAGGCAATGGAGCCGGAATATTACTGACCTGAAGGCTCTAAGGGGTAGTGAAAGCCCGCCTGAGCCAAGCTGGTTACGGTGTTCGCATCGTCAACACCGTTGAACACAGCCATGGTCTTGGGATCATAGAAGACGACAGAGCCGTCATCGTATGTGATAGCGAGAACATTGCCATACTCGATCTGGTCTATCGAGATGGCGTACTTATCAGAATACACATCATCCAACCGTCGCAGCTCCAATTTCGGCTACCTCAATTGTTAACAGGGATACAAACGACCTTCACAGTCAAAGTGCTCACCTTGATCTGAGCATTGTTTTTCTTCGAAGGGACGTCATCAAATTTCGGGTGAAGAGTCAAAGGACTGGTGTCCAATTGCCACCGTACAATGACGCTTGCAGGGCCTTGTTGCTGAGGATGATCCTGCGTGACGTGGAGAGGAGCTGAATAGACGGCAACCACCCAAGGATTTGCCGTTGAGCCCGCTGGGTTATCGAGGGCTGGAAGCACAATATCCAAGCCGGTAAGAGAGTAAAGAGAGTTGGTAAAGGAGGGCAAGCCCTGTGCATTATCTCCCGCATTGCGGTTCGTGCCTGGTACGTCGCACTGAGGTTCGACTTTGCAATGGAGGAAGCGGAAGGAAGGGACAGGCCAAGGGGCTGGCGGTTTTTGCTGGCCAGGGTCGTATTGAGTCGGGGTCCAGGCGATGTGAACGCGATAAAGACAGATCTTCTGGCATGCTGAGTGTGTGGCAACGAGGATGCCGCCCTGCGTAGATACCAAGGCCGCGTGGGTCAGGAGTCGGTCTGAGTAGCCTGTATTTTTGAGTTCTGCAGAGATCTCTGCCCATCTGCTGTCGGGATTCTGATACAACAGTCGAATGATTCCAGACCTGGTCACGCAGACCAGACCTGCCTTATTCACTGGATGGAATGGGCCAATTGGACGACGACGAAATGGCGAATAAGCCCAGCGTCCCTGCACTTTTGCCGCTTGGTAGAAGGAATGTACCTGTACTGACAGTGAGCCAAGGGTCCAGGAAGATCTCCAGATCGACGAATACGCACCGTGCGTTGGGTGTTCAACCACATCATACCCACTATTTGAGCACCGTCATCATCGGGATCAAAAGCTGCTTGACGATGACCAGCAATACTATTGAGTGCAATTGAAATTGAGTAGATGGATACCCGTCCTGAAGAATCTGCCACCGCCAGTTCGGCCCCCGGCTCATTCCAGCACAGATGGACCAAGGTGTGTCCTCCATGAGCATCGGTGACTGGCAGCAGGGGGGTTTCGTCACTGAGGACCCATTTTCCATCTGAGGGCCGACACTGGAGGTGCCGGACATTGACTCTCAGACCGTCCTGGGAGATGTATGCAATACATCCGAGTTTCGACCATGCAATTTTTCTGATGTAACGTTAGATTTGGTACCATGCTTGTAAACTCGCAAGCTTAAATCATGATACTTACTGACAGCAACCTATCAGTCTCATTTCATCTAATCGTTGTGCAAGACCTCTTGGAGAGGCAGTAGAAGGGGACAAGCCCAGCTCGAGGGAGCCGGGCTCTCCAAACAAATCGTCAACATTGATGCCGTCTTCCATGATCAAGGGCATTTTGAATAGGCAATGTGTCTTGATTTACGACAGTGTCGATGGCAAGGTACAGTTTCAGAGAAGTACCAGCACCATCATTATCCCCCGAGCATTAAAAGCGATGGCCTGCGAAACTGGAGAACCCGTTCCAACGTGCGCGAAGTCCAGACGATCAACTGCACGGAACGACCAAGAATTCTACCTAATCAGGAAAAATTCAACAATGTCATATCAATGAGTTCTTTGCCATGATAATGATTTTTCACCTTATCACTATGCCTTTGTCTCACGCTTCTTCTATCAGTACCATCATCACAGTTCGTTCTCCACATTATTTCAGTATTCAAGCTGATCAGTCATCCGTCATGTGATGTCATGTGGGCCAATCTCCCGGCCAACCGCTCAACCTGCCGTGATTGGCGCTTCCGACTCTATATCAACGAATACAACAAACCCCTTGGGTAACGTCGGCGAGGAAAGCATCCTCGCATTGATCTACATATTCCATGTGTCGGACTACGTGTATTCAAGTTAATAGTGCCCATTCAAATACTCTGAACATGACACATCCTGCGATATGAGGTGGAAACATCCACTGCACCGTCTTATAAGAGGCTGTCTACAATGCTGGAGCTTGGTGGATAGTCTCTACAGTCGCTGATTGAAAGACACAAGGAACTCAGTATTCCTGCAACGGAGACGTACAAAGTTCTGTTGATATGTACCTAGGTGCTATTGAAGCCTTCCAACCTGACCTGATATATGTCTTGAGCCCTCAAACGGGTGGCCCCAGGTATTTTATAAGGTTGACCAATGAAACTGCAGCAATCAAGGACGGGAACAACCAGCCTAAAACTCTGCAATAATCATAACAATAATGCATCAATGCCACAAGAATCATCTCATCATAAAGTGGATGTGAATCCAGCCAGGAGTGAATGGATGGACATGGCTCTCAATTGATGTCATCTAATGCAGCAAGCTTTCAGATGGCTCTATTTGATGTCCGTCAAAAATTCAGTAGACCAAGTCCCCTATGTTGTAGTCTTGTTGATACCCTTCGCTCCGTCATAGCCACAAGACCCGTCCCTTTCCCTTGCCAAAGAACCCTTAACCGCTACTAC